CCCGGTAACGTAGCAAAACATTGGATCACGTGACCACGTCAACCGCCTGCGCTGCATTCTAGATCACGTGAGAAAAACGGCCAGACCAGTTCAAAATGTGTACATTTATCGATTATTAATAAATTATAATACAAATTAGTTGATTTATCAGTAATATTTTCAGTGATTTGAATTATAGGTGTAAAAAAAAATCATACCAAACATACTTTTCCGTCATAGCTGGTTGAATCGTTATATTTTCGACGCTGAAGTGGTTCATTGAAGGCACAACCACATCCCACAATGCACCGGTGGAAAACGATGTGGAGGTTTCCATAGAGACGCAGCTGCTGGCTCCAGCTGCCAAAATGCTACCTGGATGAAAAACGTTTAGTAGTACGGATATAAAAGGTGACTTTTGGTATTCAACTCCTGACTGTTTTCGGACGGTTTGTGCAGCGTGGATGGTTTTTGCTTTAGTTTGGCTCATTTAGTGTTTCGTTAGCGAAACACTAAAAAGTGTTTAGCATCAAGCTAACGAAAGAAAGGGTTTAGCTCCCAACACAGTATTTGACCATAAAGTAAGTCATGTTTTTCAAACTAGCATCAAATTACAGTCATAACTAATTATATTTTTTATTAGTTTCGTTATGGATTTGATTATGGAAATGACATGTAATTTCATTCAAGAAAAAATACGTTTCAATGGCAGAAATAGATCAACTTTTAATGTTGCTGTTTGATGTGCCTTTTTTATTCCCAAATAAACATTTATAATATTCTGAATAGATGCTTGTCTTTTTGTATACCCATCCTGTCATCTCTCCATTAGTACCACTTTATATGAGGGATGTTGGTGGTATACTGAGGATGGAGGGTCCTTTAAAAACGTTGTTGTATAGACTTTGGGGCAAAAGTAAGATTGTATCTGAGGGCAAACACTGCTGTTTATGATAATAGGTATTTAATTTGTGCTTGATTGATAAAATGAACTTTTCTAAAACATATTATAAGGAAGGAGAATCCTGTTTGAAACCCATGCAAACTCAACCACCAGAATCTTGTCTTAATTAGAAAGAAAAAAAGGAAAAGTCATTATACCGTCACTCAGATTGAATGGTTTATGAGCTTTAGCAATACTTTAGAAATCTGCTATATGCTTGTCAATGAACGTGTGATAGAACTCTATTCTTTAGAAAAAAAACACACGTGTTACTGACTGAAAATATCAGACTTTAACCACCTTCAAACAAAAAAAAAAACTTATTCTTCATGTTTATATGCTTGAGCCACAGATGAAAGTTGAGTAATCTGTCACACTAACTAAACTGGTGCTCTTTCATCTGTTGTGTAGCACATCAAAGATGTCGCAGTTGTCATTTGAGGATGAAGCGGAGCTTCAGTCCCTCCTCAAACAGCTCCTGGGAAGCATCAACGACAAAATTTCTTGCGCCTCGTCGACCGAATGTGCCGAAGAGATCCTTCTCCACCTGGAGGAGACCGACAAGAACTTCCACAAGTAAGGCCTCCTATCCTAACCCTAACCCGTACCTCTACCCCCCACAGCTCCTATCCTAACCCTAACCCGTACCTCTACCCCCC